AAGAAAGAAAGAAAGAAAGAAAGAAAGAAAGAAAGAAAGAAAGAAAGAAAGAAAGAAACTGTCTGAATGCCATAGTGGACCCTGGAATGTTCTATAATAAGTGTGCCTTTTATTCCAGCCACAAACACAAAAGATTTTCTGATGCTTAGCAGACACTAGAGAGCAAAGCATCTGCAGTGCCACGCTGTGAGTGGGAGGTGGGAAGGCTCCCAGACCCGGTCCATCTCTGAGAACACAGGACAGTACCTACTTCATTACAAACCCACACACAGTTCTGCTTACCCAAAAAGCAGAGCAGAACGTGTGCCAGCCAAGCTTAGCTGCCTTTACTTACAATTAGTGACCACGATTCAACGGTCTTACCCAAACTCAGCCATGAAAGCTACTGTTCTATGGACAAGAATGTCCTCTGAGTTTTCAGTTGTTATTTTTTTCTTCCTTATTCTTAGAAACTGATCTTCATATCTCTAATTAAAATCAGATAACTAAATATAGAGATGACAACCCCTCTACATGTTATCAGAGTCTAACTATGTACTTAGGACCATATACTCCTTTGTGCATAACATGAAAATATATTTAGAATATTTCTAATTCATAGAAGACCTAAATAGAATCCACTGTGAATGTGGAGCTAAGATTTGTCTTTTATAAATGCTTACTTAATTTGGTTTTTTTTCTTTTTAACAGGATTTTTATAATACACTACCATTATAGCTACTGAATATCAGAGATCAATTGTTTAATAATTTCTGCCTAGGAGATACATTTCTTTCTTCTCAGCCAGCAAAAGATACCTTAACACTCAGAAAGCTATGGATTTTTAAGATGTTTATATTCATTTTGAAATTAATTGCTTGTAATTCACTAGGTACTCAAAAACTAATATTTGAACAAATTATGATCAAAAAGTCACCCCCTTTACTAGTAAAGATTTACCCTTGGAATCAAAGGAGGGTATTCTAGCTTGAATTGAACTGCCCCAGAAGACAAATAATTTCCTGGCTCTAAATGTTAATGATACCACACTAACAGAAGCGGGATTTATTTGGCTGAAGAGGCACGAGTACTTATCATGCATGTTGTAACATAAACAAAAGCAATTGGTGAATTGTGACAGATATATGATAATTAGTCACTTTAGTCTAATATAATCATATCCTGATGGGAATCTCTGATGTGTGGGTGGCACCATTCAATAGGCATTTGCAGCAAGTCATTGATTTTTCTGTCTGCATTTTTAGATACTTGAAAATATATGATCAACCTCTATACACAGAAGCTTCATATTCAAAAAGTTTAATGATCTCTCTCTCTCACACCGTTTTCATGAACTGATGATAATAGGGAAATAAAGAGGTGAAGTATGTTCAAATGAAGTGTTGTCTAACAAGTTGTTGACTCAGAGACAGCTAATACCGCCCATTTTCCCATATACAGGTCTGTGGATCAACACACAGATGACTGTAAAATGAGAATATGCAGCAAAAACACGGTACCCCTCCAAGCAGGCATGGAATGAGAGGAACCTTATGCATTTTATAGCCTCTCCATGGTGTGTACAATTTCACCAGGGAAACACATGGCCAACATTCAAAGAACGCTGTTCAGGTATTTCACAGGCTTACGCCGACAGTGAAAGTTTGTCCTCTAAGCATCTTAAATTGCTTGGACAAGCAGTCAGCAGCTGGAGACATCTTCATAGTGAACTCATAAACACCATGGACATCCACTTGAGACCTAAAATGCACAAAGTTGAAGCAGGCGAGTGACCAACCTTGGCGAAATATCGCATCCTTGCTGCATAAAGGCACCCAGGGAAAACCAGAGACTATTAAAAATCCCAAATTCATTAGTTGATTCACTACTTTGTGTTTCTCTTCCATCTTCAAACTCCTCAGTGTGCCACTCGTAGGGGCTAAATCTGCTGACCAGGAATAAAACTACACTGACCCCAATGTAGGCAAACACAATGCACATCCAGATCTCATAGGCTAAAGGATCAAGAAAGGAAAACACTCCTGGTTTGGACTTCTGAGGCTTCTTGATCATGATAGAGATTCCAAGACTCATGAAGGGCTTGGAGAAGTCAATCACCTCTTCTCTCACAAGGGTGATAGTTAATGGAGCAATTGCAATATCAGCTTTCTGTAAAGGAAAGAAAGGAAAATAACAGAACCCACCATTATGGTTAAGAAAGACACATGTTTAAAACGTGGGATGGAAATTCAAGAGTGGCAGTAATTATGGCTCTGGTGCTAAAGAATAAGCAAGAGGGTTGTGTATTTATTCACCAACTATTATAGACAAATCGTTGACCTATCTGGCTTAGATAAGGTCATTACACATTTTCTGTGATTTACACTTGGAAGATTTGTGATAACATATGTGCTTAAAGACTGGTCAATGCATGTTTCAGTTAATTTTCAAGTTTACTTCTTGCTTTTGTCTCAACCTTTCAAGTTTTATCAAAGAAATAAAACAGTTGTTTCTAGAGCATCATGGAATGCCAAAAACTGATAAATAAATATTTTAAAATAGAATGACCTTTCTCTCAACAATGGTTCAAACTGAATTACTTTACCTTTAAAGAGATATATACTTACCCCATATACAAGCTCTCCAACCATACCATTCCAAATTTTGGTGTCTGCATCCCTGGCCCCATACTTGCCATCCCCAACAATAGTCAACTTGTACTTGAACCCACAATGTTTGGCAATTTCTGCAGCTAAGTCAACACAGTAGCCCTCATAACGCTCATTCCCCTCAAGCATTTCATGATTTTTCTTCATCATAACATATGGTGATTCCTGTAAGGAGAGACGATATGTTCAACTGATTATCATCATGCTCTATATACTTCTATTATACCAAACTCTTAGCTTAATAAGAGTATGTATAATAATTAGTTATTATACATAGGCATGTTTGATATGGTAGACATTGAAAGAACAATATATAGGCATAGTGCTTCTACAACCAACTTCCTTAAATCTCTATATTATTGGTCATTAAAATGTCTTATATCTAATCATATCCAAGTAAGATACGCAAAAGCTCTTGACACAGCCTCTCATTTTATTTTAATCCTTAAGCACCAGGGAGGGAAAGTTTTGCTCAACAGCTATTATATTTGGCTTTGGGTCTTCCTTACCTGCACTCAAGGTCAAGTACCTGAGTTCAGGCAAGGTCTGCGTTACTGCTGCTCCAGGTGCAAATGTCATGGAGGAAAAAGTTGCAAGTACAATGATCCATAAAATGAAAATGGCCATTGTCATGGCAACATACTGATTCTATTCCTGAAAGTTTCGTGTCTCACTTCATCTAAGAGATGTAATACGCTAGAATAACGCTACACATATAGTTAGAGAAGCTCTCTCTCTCTAGAAACCCACGAGAGAGGAAGTACGAAGAAATGGTTCAGCAAATCTAATGTTGTCCACTTTGGAGGGTTACAGAATATAAATCTAATTGAGTTGGTGGTTCCTTTCAATAGCATGATGAGGGTGAGAATTCCCACATGTCTAACTCACATTCATGAAGAGAATTCCAGGTGCCACTAACAATTTATCTAAATCTCTTATGTGTGTATTTATACTTCTATCTTATGTTGTTAGGAAAATGAACCCACCAATTTATAACCTCACTACTAAGTAAAAGAGTTCCAAACCACCTTATCACAAAACCATGTCCCCTAATGAATTCCACCTTCTTCTCACCCCTTGCTCGGCATTGTGTCTTCACGAGCCACACATCCAGGCAAGCTTTTCCTCCCTCTTACAATAGTCATGTATTTGGAACAGGGCATATGGCTACCACTGTGTTCAAATGATTGGTATAAAGGAGTTCACACTTGCCTTTCGTTGTGCATAAAGAGGGCTTAGCAGCATTACCAGAAGCATTATTATATCATATTACCAAATGGGGATGGGATGGAGATGAACCAGAGTTGGGTGAGATTTGAAAGGAAGTGTAAAGACCAAACAAGACTTTGCTCTGCCATTCACTAGTGTCTGCAGCAGGGTACCAGTTAGCTGCCAAGCTAGACTCCAGCCTCCTTGAAGATGAGAAGATCCTACGTGCTTCAACTCAGCCTGTGTATAACCCTTAGAGTAGGTAAGCGTGCAGTAAGGGATACAATGACAAGTATGGAATGAAGTAAGCATTGTAAAAGCTGTTTGGTGATCTTACTACTCTAAAGCCTAAACATCAAGTCTTCAAGTAGATACTTTGAATAAGAAAACATCCGGTCCAACCTAGGAACGTGCGATTAATTACCAAGATTGTGGTGACCACCACAGTTTTGTTTTCAAGCCCAGATGTGTCATTTCCAGAAGGGAGCTCGGTTAGGGTGACAACCATTTTATCCACTTCACTCCAGTACCCAATCTGGAAAAGGTCACAGTTGATAAACAATGATGAGACGTGGTCTGGCTTCGTACATCACACTTGACACTTTTCAAACCCATGTCTGCACCCAAAACAACGCCCACCTTACACAGACATCTAAGGACCAGCAATAACTTTACCTTCATATATGCATCTGGTTAGAAATGAAATTCCAAAAACAAAGATAATTCTTAAAATTTGGTGGAATCTTTCTATTTTATTATTTGTTTATTTATTTTTGTTTATTTGACTCAATAGCTTGTTAGGTATCCTTAGTTTGTCTAGAACTCACTATACAGGTCAACTTGCGTTCAACTCACAGTCCCCTGCCTCAGCTTCTGTAGTTCACAGATTAAAGTCATGTGCCAATGCAGCTGGGTTGCTTTTCATATTTAATGGATAACTTGGTTGGCGGGGTAATAATTTATACATGTAAATATATCCCAAACAGTGACAATTTAGACAGACTATTTTAAGGCAAGATTTTGAATTAAACAGTTTAATACATGCTTATACCACTATTTATTTGATCTAATTGCATTACATCTTTAGCAGTTCTTTTCTATCTTATAATTAAAGTCTTCTTATCAAAGTTGAAAAAACGTGTAACACCGCATATAGGTACTATTTTAGATTAATTATTGCTATCACTTACGAAAAATGAGTCGATTTGATTCAAAACAAATCTCAAAACTGAATTTGTTTCTAGAAGCAGCTCATCACTGTCTATGTGCACATGCTCTCTGACCCCAGGAGTGAAAAAAGCTCACAATGGAATCTGCCTCTTCAAAGGGAGACCCCATTTTAAATCCTTAAAGTTTTACCTTTCGGGGCCCGTTTGTTTTGAGCTCCATGATATTAATTGTGTAGTTTATTCTTTTTCCATTCTGGTCAAACTTTATATTTCCAGAGAGACCTTCAACTTGAACCTAGGATGAAATGGAAATAGAACACAGTCATAAATTTATTTAATCCAAGATGCAAACTGGGAAGATTGCTCACACTAACCTGAACAGGTTACTGTTTACTCTGTGTGTGTGTTTAAGTTTATTATTTAAATAACATGTTTTCCATTTATTTTACTTACCAACCCTCACCCCCTCCTCCCCTTCTGTACCTTTGCTTTTCTCCCCTTTCCCATCTACTCCCCTTCCCAAATGTTCTTCCTCCATTATCATTCAGAAAGAGGCAGACCTCCCATGGGCTAGGACAAAACAAGGTACATCTAGTTGAGGCTTAGCTCCTCCTCTTACAAGAGATGAGACCAGGTAATCCAGCATGGGGAAAGGTTACCAATAGCCAGTTGAGCACCAGGGAGAGGCCCTACTCTGATTGTAAGAAGCCTCACTAAGAGACCAAATGAATTGTCACACACATGCAGAGGCTGGCCTCAGGTTGGTTCCATGTAGGTTCCCTGACTGTGACCATGAGCTCTTAGGAACTCAGGTCTGCTGTCTCCGTGGGTTCCCCCATCATGATGCTCCTGGCTCAAACAGTCCCTCTTCCCTTTCTTCCACAAGACAACACAGTAATTGTCTGTGGATCTCTGCCTCTGCTTCCATCAGTTACTGGATAGTGTATCTCTGATGGCAATCAGGGAAGTCACCAATCTGCTTACATAAGATGGTCAATTCAGGCATTCTCTGTACTACTGTTAGGAGTCTTAGTTGGGGTCATCCTTGTGGTTTCCCTGGGGTTTCCCTGGCACCAGGCTTCTCCCTCTCTCCCAATGCTCCCCATCAAGACATCTCTTTCGTTACTCTCCCCCACCATCCTGACTCCAACAGACCTCCCACACCCAGTCCACCCCACCTGCTCTCTCTAGCTCCCATGTCTCCATCCTCTCAACCCCCACCCACAATGTACCCAGGAGTTCTTTTCTACTTCCCTTTTCCAGGGAAATCCACACCCCTCCTTGTGATTCCTTGCTATCTAGCCTCTTTCCGCCTATGCAATGGAGTACTACTCAGCTGCAAATAAATAAATAAATAAATGATGATTTCATGAAATTTGCAGGCACGTGGATGGAACTAGAAAAAAAATCATTCTGAGGGAGGTAACCCAGGCCCAGAACAACAAACATGATATGAACTCACTCATAGTTGGTTATTAGGACTAAAGTATAGAATAACCAATCTGTCTAAAAGTAGTCTACCTTTGTCTTCTGAGGAGACAATGTGGCCTATATGTTCAACATAAGGAATAAAACAAAGATAACTTACATGTTTTGGCAAAACAAACAAACGAACGAATGAACAAAAATCTCACAGAAGCCACCTTCATGACTGTAAGCGGTCACATTCACACCCATTCTGTGAAACTGACCTGTTTGAGGGCCCTTTCTATTTCTACACCTTGTCCCCAAGGCACAGCTGGGTTGGCCAAACAATCCCCTGCATTGCCTCTCCGGGAGATTTCAATCCTCTGCTTCCGAAGGTTGCGGAATGCTTCGGTCATCACTTGGACAGCATCGTAGGTGAGGGCAGATGTATACTAAAAGGAATCACACATTTTATAAGGATGGGAGAAATCCAGAACTTTGTTGCCCATGATCTAGCCTACCATGCAACACAGGCCATCTTGTAAGACTGCTCTTGCCTACCAAGCAGCATGAATACTGGGTAAAAAGGAAGAAGAAGTGAAATGCATTTCCTCTATGTAGCTATCTTAGAATCCAACCAGAGGTTGGAATATGGGACTACAGAACTCATTCCGAACACCAATATGCTCAAATATCTCAGTATCTAAGCTAATTTAACAGGAAGCTTATTGTATTTGTTGAAATCAGGTTATCACTGAACCAGTATTTTATGGACAGCTGTGATGACATATAAACTTTCAAAATAACAACAAACATATCTTCAATGCCCAATAAGAGATTCATTGGTTAAAATAGACAGAAAATAGATGAGTTTTTGAACCTGAATCTTTAATTCAAGATTGGTGGTGCTTAAAGACTCTTTAGAGTGGTGTTAGACCATTTATTTGCCTTCTCCTTGTGCTTCTGGTATTGAGGAAGAAGAAGCAAACTCCACCACTCCTCAGCGATTTCTGTGATTTAACAGTGTGTGAGGATGCCAGCTCAAATGTACCGAGGCTGAGCATGCATTCACATGTCTCAGGCAGGCCTTGCCCTTTTCCCTTTCCCTCTACACTCCCCAAAAAACCATTTGATGGCATTTCTAATGCTACTCACCAAGGTCTACTCCCTTATTTGGCCACTTCCTCCTCCTGAAGCTGGTTCTCACCAAGTCCAGCAACCAAAAGCCCCTTTTGGGTCACCTATTTAACATGCCCAATTAAAATTAAACACCTCATACTAACATGGGATTTCCCATTTTACCTTTATAAACCACTTTGCCCATGTGCCACATCTGTCGCCCTCTGTCCAGAGGCAGTCCTTTGTCCCCGCAGGACAAATCACCCTTCCCCTTTTCCCTCATCTTCTATCTCCTTTACCATGGCATCCTAGCCCACTCTAACACAGACTTCTGCTTTTTCTTAAGTATTACACTTGCAGGGTCATTTGCTGCTGTTCATTTCTGCCACAGTCAGAGAGTGGTGTGGGAAGTCCTGTATATGTCTTGCTTTTATTGGTTAATGAATAAAGAGCTGCTTTTAGCCAATGGCTTAACAGAGTAAAGGCAGTCTGAAAGAGATATAGAGAGAGTAGGCAGAATCAGGAGAAGGCATGTAGCTGTCTGCAGGAAATAGATACACTGGAACCTTGCCACATCCACAGTCCCATAACCGTACAGAGATTAATAATAGAAATGGGTTAGCTTGGGATATAAGAGCTAGCTAAAAATATGCTTAAGCTATTGGCCAAATAGTATTGCAAATAATATAGTTTCTATGTGATTATTTTGGGTCGGGGGGTCCAGGAAACGAATGAGCAGCTTTCGTCAACAAGGAGGCAGACATTTTGACTTTTCTTCCCCATTTTATAAAGAATCGCTGTTTGAAAACAGGTGTTGGTGTTTGGTGTTTGGGTGTGGTTTGTCCCAAAAACGCAGTCCAGGAGGGAGCCCCCACTGCGCGGTAATTCCCTTTCATGACTGATATAGGGACAATACATTACCAACCTACGTCTGAATGGCACGCAGCACACCAGAGCAATCTTACTCTCCAGTAACTTGATTCTTCCCCCACAGTGGCTCACATCACTTTCTGAATACCACAGCCTTCACCTGCTTCTCGTTCTCAAACCCTATTCTGATTATGTTGTATTGTGGAGAGAAGGAAACCCCTTGATAGATGCTCCTGGTTTGCCACCTGGCAAAAAGCCCAAACCTCACAACACGTTTGCCCCCTGAGCTGACAGAACAGAGCTGGCCACACTTTCTCTCAGCCCTCCCCATTCATGCAGGGCGCTAAGGCTACACCTCCAGTTTCCTTAAATACATTTGTTTAGGGAATCACGCCTGCAGTATCGCTCATCGGCACACTCCGGATAGTCTCTATAAAAACTCAACTTCTTTATTATTTTCTACCACAACTAAAGAAAGAAATAAGAAGAGTGGAGGAGAAAAGAAGAGAGGAAAGGAGGGGATAAAAAGGGGAAGAGGAAAATAATTCGTCAAATATTTTCTTCAAATCATCATCCCATTTTTCTATTCCCTTCTTTGGAAATGCTTTGAGAGGAAACAATCTGCCCTGGCATCTTAACCTTCTTCCCTAAGTATTAATCTGCTCTGTACCTGTGAGTGCCGCCCACAGACTCTGACAACGGCTTGGGCAGGGCTGCCCCTCCTACAAAGCCATCCTCCAGTTCCTTTCCTGTTTGTCTTATTTATAGCATTTTCCAGCATCTGATCATCTTATGTGAACATTTTTCATTTATTTCCTGTAACTATCCTCCGCACCAGAACAGATGCTTCAGAGAAGGGTAGCTCTTGCATATTACCCCTGAGTTCTTATAGATGATGACAGGGCTGGGCCTATTGAAAGGGTAAGAAGAAAGGATGCAGGGATAAGGAAGGAAGGAAGGAAAGAAGGAAGGAAGGAAGGAAGGAAGGAAGGAAGGAAGGAAGGAAGGAAGGAAGGAAGGAAGGAAGGAAAAGAAAGTAAGCCAGAGGTCTTACATAGACCATACTCTTTCAGAGAGGGAGAAAATGGGTGTGAGGCCGTGGGAAGTACACTGTGACAGAGTGCTATGGCTCTATTAAGACGGGCTTTATGTGTGAATCTTCATTGGTTTGTTGTTACTATTATTTGTTTTTTCGATGTTAGGAAGGGATCCCGCACTGACCATGAACATTTAACCTTCTTGTTTCAGCTTCCCGAATGTTAGGATTTCAAGCGTCTTTCTTATGTGGGGTTACAGGTGACTTTCTAAACTTTCTTCTCAAATGTCAGTCATCAGAATATTTCCCATGATAGAATGTCACTTCAGGCCAAATATGCATTTTCTCACTTCCTGCATTTTCTGAGACATCTATAAATCTCTCCTGGGTAGAAATCTGGATCACTTTGTAATGCAGATCAACGGTTTCCACAAAACAGTTATTATATACTTCCTGAATGCAATTCAATACCATCTACTGAATGCAGATATAAAAGTGTGTGTGTGTGTGTATACATGTCTCCTAAACGGCTGCATTTGAGTCACTCAAAGTGCTTCAAACCCATCATATTTTTCTTTTATGAACTTGTAGTTTTAACCTATAAATATACATGCAAACATTAGACAAAATACAGAACCATGAATCATTTAATCTAAAATGAAATTTCTGGAACGTATCTTACAAAAAATATTTTGAGGTACAAAAATTTCTAGAGACACCAAAATTGAAGTTGGATGATTTGTACTATGCAAGGATTAGAAGAAACTTAAATTTCTGACAACAAAAAGATGTTTCAGTGCTGGGTATCTGTAGCAGAGCATCTTCCTAACACATGCAGAAATCATGCTCTTGAGATCGATCTAAGATGGCAACTGTGGAACCGGAAACCACCCCTACTACTAATCCCCCACCTGCGGAAGAGGAGAAAACAGAATCCAGTCTGGAGGTTCCTATAGCAAACCCAGAGCACTATATCAAACACCCTCTCCAGAACAGGTGGGCACTCTGGTTTTTTAAAAATGATAAAAGCAAAACTTGGCAAGCAAACCTTCGATTGATCTCTAAGTTTGATACTGTTGAAGACTTTTGGGCTCTATACAACCATATCCAGTTGTCTAGTAATTTAATGCCTGGCTGTGACTACTCACTTTTTAAGGATGGTATTGAGCCTATGTGGGAAGATGAGAAGAACAAACGGGGTGGTCGATGGCTAATTACATTGAACAAGCAGCAGAGACGAAGTGACCTCAATCGCTTTTGGCTAGAGACACTGCTGTGCCTTATTGGAGAATCTTTTGATGACTACAGCGATGATGTATGTGGAGCTGTTGTCAATGTTAGAGCTAAAGGTGATAAGATAGCAATATGGACTACTGAGTGTGAAAACAGAGACGCAGTAACACACATAGGGAGGGTATACAAGGAAAGCTTAGGACTTTCTCCAAAGATAGTAATTGGTTATCAGTCCCACGCAGACACGGCTACAAAGAGCGGCCCCACCACTAAAAATAGGTTTGTTGTTTAAGAAGACACCTGAGTGTTCTCACAGGAGACTGCGTCACGCAATCGAGATTGGGAGCTGAACCAAAGCCTCATCTAAGCAGAGTGGACTGCACTGAAGTTTGATTCCATCTAAATGTTGCTAAGATATAAGAGAAGTCTCATTCGCCTTTGTCTTGTACCTCTGTGTTCATTTCTTCCCTTCCTCCCCCCAATTTTTGCTAGTGTGTCCACTATCCCAATCAAAGAATTACAGTATATGCCACCCCAGAATCCGCAGGTGTGTCCCTGGCCCGCACTGTAACAGCTGGGTAGAATTACCATGATACACACATTTGCCTTTCCACAGTATTCGAAAAAGAACTTGCATTTCTGTTACCTTAGCAGGAAAAGATCTGTTTCTGTTGCACTCCGTGCAGGAGCGTGTTTTGCTGGTGAGAGTCTGCGTGCAGTTTTCTAGCAACCTCGTTGTCCTTCCACAGCATTCTCCTTGCTGGCCTCTTGCTGATGGCTGCTAGAGTTTAATTTATTTGCTTCCCTCCTTGATAACATTACTGATTCTGATTTCAGTTTTTCATTTGTTTTGCTTTTGTCTTTTTTCTTCATGTAACATTGGTGAAGGATCCAGGAATATGACAGAAACGTGGAATAAACATTAAATTTGTTCATTCTTTGGTAACTTTTTGTTTTTTTGTAACTACAAAGCTTTGCTACAAATTTATGCATTTCATTCAAATCAGTGATCTATGTCTGTGTGATCCCTAAACATAATTGTGGACTATAAAAATGTAACATCATAATCACATTCCTAACTAGAATTAGTATGTCTGCTTTTGTATCTTTATGCTGTACTTTAACACTTTGTATTACTTAGGTTCTTTTGCTCTGGTTACAAATGGCTCAAGTAGAAAAGCGGTCCCATTCATATTAAGACAGTGTACAAAACTGTAAATAAAATGTGTACAGTGACTTGTCTTTAAAAAAAATAAAAAAAGAAATCATGCTCTTGATTAAAAAAATAAGTGAAGAGATATAGTATTACAAGTAAGCTTTCCAATTCTGGTCAACGAGAACAGCTGAACAAGTGCACTAACTTTAAAAGTGAAAGAAGTCCTAATCACAAGAAAAGGCAGCCGACTCCATTACTTTCACAGTGTCCTATTTCACGGATCACTTAAAAGTTGTATTATATTCCTATCAAGAAATTATGTTGATGTTAGAGAAGAATTGCTGAAGCTAATAAGAAAGGACATAGCAGGCTGTGTCTGCCTCACTGTGAGTCTGTTCTTATTAGCCCACAGTGAGAAGCATTAATTTTCTTTCTGTATACTATTCAGTTTATTGCCAAATTAACTCTTAACACTAATTTCTAGGTCTTTGAATGGGTAATGGGACTTAAATTGGATAAGTTGAATATTAAGAAAATATTGCGATTCATATTAAAATTATAGTAGCTAAAAGCCAAGGTTTTCATGAAGTCAGCTTGCTCTCCTTACAGGGAGGCACCCATGAAGCCACCCACTAACTGTTTTTAGAGGACTATAAATGTGAGCAAAATGCATTGGAAATCTGATTAGGCTGAGCTAAAAGTGTTCTGATCCACACAATACAACCCCATTGCTACAGAGCATGCTCACTGGGCAGAGAGTCCCCTCAACCTTGCACAAATGCTCAAACCTAAACAAATGTTCAGTTTATTGTCCTTTTAAATTAAAACGCCCAGTCAGAAACACAATTCAGAGCAAGTAGATAACCAGCAGCCTGTGATTCAGTGCCCATTAGCTTCTGGTTTGCATTTCCGGTTCAACGAGTGCTCACAGTTTTGACTGGAGAGTGAAATATTTCCGTTGGATTTCACTGCTCACTAAAGTAGATATAAATTAGTTTGAAGAGATGGTGATGGCTGTGTAACTGTCTTCCTCCTCTGAGAAAAATTGCTGCGTCCCTGCCCTGATGTTATGTTCTGTGAACTCTCTCGGCTGAGTTGGGAATTTATCCTTCAGTGGGGGGCCATTTAGCTTAGTGCTTCCCAGCATCGCCACCGCCACACTCACGCAAGAAATCTGGGAAATCATTTTTATGGTCCATTTTCCAAATGCAAGCTTTATTACATTTTAAGTGTATATCTATTGAGGCTTATATTTCAAATGAAATGAAATAAAATGAAATACTCATTTTACATGTTTGTTATGTCCAGTAACATCATGCAATGGGATAGCATGATCACAGGTCCCAGAAGATGGCATCTCTAACACCAGAAAAAGGCGGCAGAGAGGAAAATGTTTGTGTTTATTATGAATATAAAAGAGGATGCCATGAATACAATGTAAGTTTTTGTAGATTGCCACATGATGCCATGGTTTTTTACACGTATTTTCTACACCTTGAAAACAGAAGATTGTATTTAAAACAGAAATACTAACTTCTACTCACTACTAAAATGTTTTTGAGTCCTATAGATTTCATTATTTTCAATTTGTTCTGAAACTTGAAGCTCTTTGGGAACAGTTTAGAAAGCACAGAACTTGTATGTGAAAAAGCAGGCTTGGGCTCAGACTTGCCTCTTGCTCCTCCATTGTCTTGGGGTGGTAACCAGAGTGTTTTACGTGATGCTTCTTAGGCTGAGGTCCTCAACCTGTGGGTTGTGACGGCACGAGCATGCAGCCCACACCCTGCAGATTTTGCATTATGAGTCCCAACAGTAGCAAAACTACAGCCATGAAGTAGCAATGAAATAATTTTATGTTTGGAGGTCACCACAACATAAAGAACTGTGTTAAAGGGTCGCAGCATTAAGAAGATTGAGAACCGTTGTAAGATTTAGAGAAACAGAGCAGTGTCTGTGCTGTGTTAGCAGGTACTGAACATCAAGCTAAGGGAAGAGAGCCCATGTTCCCCTTATTCTCTGCTTAGTATTTGTGCTTTGGTAGTTATGAAAAAAATTCAAACACAGAAATTATTGTATTGTGACTTTGTAGTTATTAAAAACCGTAAGCCACAAATGGTTTTGCTTGATTTTATAGGTGAAGATTACAGGTCATAAAATAATCATTTGTACACATTGCTCTAAAATTTTGCTACAGGAAGGAATTTGAAGCCAGCTCTCTGTGACTCTGAGATAGTGACCTGACTTTGCAGTTCCCCTGAATTGTCACTATGTAAAACAGAAAATCTCAAATCTTATAAAGTCTTAATAAATTTATAAGAAAAATTTAGGAAGCCTTTTATTTTAATTGCTCTCAATGCATAAGAATAAAATAGAGACTCAAGGAAAAAGAACAGTGGGAAAAAGTGCACAGTGAGCCTAGAATTATTCACTGAACTTAATTTTATATTCACCAGCACCCACCCCCTGGAAGAGCTGTCTGTGATAAGGTCATCTCTAATTTACTGTAAAGCATCTTGAACATGTGCCCTTTGGAACTGCAGGGCACAGAGGCATCAAACCTTCATGAAACTCTACGTCTTTGGCAGTCACACAAGCGAGCCACAATTCTCAAGACGGAAAAGGGAGCTCAGCAGAAAGAAACCAGAATTAGCATCTTTCATTATTTTCAGTGGATAACAAAGATATTTTCGATGAATATGAAAAAAGACCTATTTTCAAAGGAACACACTAAACACACACACATATGTTTAAAACATATATAATATGCATTTATATGACTAAAATATAAAGATTATCTGTTGATTTCAATACAAAAATCTTACTTAAGGAACAAGCATCTCACATTCAGGGGCTTGGGATTACGTATTTACACATTCTATCCTCAGTAAAGCTAATTATGCAAACTAACACAGAAAAGAAGTTCAGTTTACAGCAAGGTCTGGATTTGATTCAGCCACAGCAAGGACTTTTTCGGCGGCCGAGTACTGAGTCAATCATCTTCCTCCCTTTCTCTGTGCACAGTTCCTTAGTGATAGCAACTTAGGACAAAGCCCCGGCTGTCTAGGGTGATGACTCTTGCTTCAGTTTCTACACTTGGTGAGCAGAGATGCCTATCCGCCAGTCCCTGGAGATTTCACACCATGGAGAGGCCATGGGTGAGAGCAGAGGGCCAGCAAAATTTAGAAATATTGATGTAGCTTTTACTGAGGGCCCAACATGGCCTTTCATATAATTGCTGAAGCTGAGATTTTTGGAGAAATCTTGTTGACCTACAAGTGTTCTTCAGAGAAGAATTGAGTGATGCAGCTGAGCACAGATGTCCTTCATTATAATCATACATATGGATAATTCATTTAAATGGCACAACATAGATTTATTTGAAAATACTTTTTTTCAGGATATGTAATTTTGGCAAGATCAGCTTGTTTGTTTTTTTGTTATTGTTTTTACATATGTCCTTTTTAACTACAAAGTACACGGGTTTAAATGGACCAAGCTTTGAGGTGCTGTAAGCTATTTTAATATTTGCAGTGGTAAATGCTGGGTCGTAGCTGTGCCGGTGGTCAGTTTCAACACTCACAACGCAGAATTAATTCTGCCAGGCTCTCAGAGTACTATTTAATGCACGGTGCTAATTACCGAACTGAGAAAGATTATACTATTTTCAGACAGGCCCAATAATTCTCTTAGGGCAGCAATTAAGGAAGTTGGAAAAATGTGTGTTAAGTTGGTTCCTGAGTAAAATGAGGTTCTTGTGTGAAAACTATTATTTAAAGCACCACACAAATGTTGGTCCCTTGGTGGTGGTTGAGCTCCTTAATGCTAGCCGGACATCAAAGGCAGAGTGGAGCAAAGGAGACTGTGTGGAAAGGAAGCATCCATAGGCAGGCCTTGCAAGAGGGTGACACTGGGAAAAACAAAATGTATTTGAAAACGGAAGTAGTTGTCATTATTTTTGTTCTACTAACAAGTGTACTTATACTCTGCCTCCTTTTAAATCTTTAAGAGAGGTGAAAGATCTGTTTTCCATTGTCCCTTGTGAATGCAGTCTGGTTAAATTACTACAGCTTCCTTGCTTATCACCAGAGTAAACAGCTCCGAGCTCTTTGGCTACCCTTGATCAGAGGAACGTAGCAAATGCTTGTAGCAGGGACTCAAAGCAAATTCTATAGCAACAATAATCCTGTATTTTCTTTCTTAATAGTCTGGTAATTAAAAAGTTCTTACTTATTTTCTTTCCAGGTCATTATTGCTCCTTCTATACATGTCTCCCGTGAGTCTCTCTTGTGAAAACACTACGTGGTTTAAAACCAGTACCTGTAAGGAAGCGCATGCTTCTCAGGATCTTGCTTTGCTTTAAAATCTGATCATAGCTTTCAACTGCAATCATCAGTAAGCTAGACATAAATGGTTGTGACTTCTGCAGTCATTTATTTTATAAAGAAATTAAGGAAAAG